AATAAATGAAAAATTTATGCAAAAAAAAAAAAATTATTTTTTATAGCTTTAACATTCATTTTATACTTAAAATATTTAAACTATGCTACAAATAGTACCTTCAAATTGTAAATATTTCAAAAGCTGCACAGAAATGATAATATTTATTAAAACTATATTTACTTATACGCAATTGTTGTAACATAATATTTAAAATAATACATGACAGTTATTTAAAATAATACATGACAGTTATTTAAAATAATTATTTAATTATATAAAATAAAAAATTAAATCTTGTGACAGATAAAAATTAGAAAGTTTTTCTAAAATTATAATTTTATCTAAACTTTGTTAAATAATGGAAAAGAGAAGACCAATACTTTATTTCAAATATAATAATTTTTTTGTTGCATTTCTTTTAAAAACAAATATATTTAATCATTTTATTACAAAAAAAGGAAAATCTATTTTTTTTGTTAAAAAGTATAAAATAGTTTAAAAATTATACCCATGAAATTTTTATTTTTGATAGTTTGTCTTTTGTTTTGTGAAGATTTAGAAGTTTTACTAAGAAAAAGACTTGCAGAGGAAAAGTTTGAACCAGTAAGTAATGATTTTTTTCAAAATAATTATAACATTCTTTTTATAATTAGTTTTAAAAATAAGAAACTTTATTGTACAAGAGATACGATTAAATATGGTAAACTTGAATGCATATTGAGCTCAGAACACGGGAATTATAATGGCTATAATTCTTTATCACGCAAAAAAAATAACGCTATAAAAGAATTTATTTTTTATGAAAATTATACTAAAATAATGTCTTATATACAGTTCGAGGGGTTTAATATATATGATAAAAAATTTCATAATCTTTGTCAAACAATATTAAAAAAAATAAAATCAAAATATTCGTTTTTAAATATAATTCCAGATTCAAATTATTTTAGTGATGATATATCGAATTGGAATTTATTAGCTTTAGATAATGATTATCAGCCAGTAATTCATATTCCATGTATTAAAGATGGTAGAATAAGTACAATAAAAATACAAGGGAAAGATATAAATCTAGTAAAACACTTTAAAAATAATTTATTGCAAGTAATAAAATATAAAATTGACCAAGAAAAGTTTAATAAGTTTTTTGATAATTTTGATTTTGTTAAATTTGAATATTTCAACAAAATTGGGGATATTGGTTTAATTGATAGTTCAATTATATGTTATGAAATGATAAAAGATAAATATCGTATTATAAATGAGTGCTTAGATTGTGATCAGAATAATATGTGCAATAAATGTAACAAGAAAATAAAACAAAATCAAGATTTAAAAGACATTCTTAGCAAATTTAAAAAGTTTATAAATGCCTTTTCAAAAATTACCTCGGCTAAAGCATGTGCAATTATGATTTTGTATAATACACTTTCAAAGGATACCATTAGGGATATCATTGGTAGAATTACTAGTAATACAT